TCTACCACCCCTGAAAATTTCATCCAAATCAGACAAAAAAACAACAGTTATAGATATTTTATTGTTTCCCCATTATACCTTATGGCCGAACTCTGAGGCGGTTCCAAGGCGGCTCCAAAGCTCTTTGGAAGCTCCAAACCGCTTTGGGAAGCCTAACAGGCCAGCACTTCAACCCAGATGTGCTGCTTCAGATCCCAAAGCATCCGGAGCTTCTCCGGATCCGAAGCTCTGCCCAAAGCCTTGCACAGCCCTAATGCTGATATAGCTTCACTCATGTGGAACTTGCTCTGTTGTAATTGAGATCAGCATTTGGTCCTGGCTGGCTTAAAGAAAAATATCCCCTTTCCTTCCCGCTTCCCCAGACAACCAGCACAAACCAGGTTGAGCAATTCAAGAACAGAAAGAATTATTTTTATGGAATAGTAGAAGTTGGAGTATTGTTGCAGCTATGAAGTTCCCAAAAATGTATGAAAGGCAATCATATTTGGGATATCTTTTATTGGACCAACTGTATAGTTTGGGAAAACTATTGGACAAGCTTTCCAGCGTCAAGTGCCTTTCCTCAAGTCACTTGATACCCCAAAATGCATCCAGCAACTCTCCCACTTATACAGATGGTCCAGCAACAGCTATCACAAAAAATCCTTGCCTGTTATAGAATGTGTACATATTACAAAGGCAAGTAAACAAAAAATCCCATTTATTTCCATACTTAATTTTACACCTATATTTTTATTTCATCAAAAATAACAAAAGTCAGATAGTTTTTAGTCATTGATTTTGCTGTTAATTTTCATGCTGTGGTTATTTTTTGTTGTTTTTTTAACTAGGCCAGTTATCAGAAGCAATATAACGCGGGAATGCTTAACCAAGATGCTGCCCAAACATTAATAGGTGCCGCAGAAAGCTATATTGACGTTAAAGGGAAGTAAGTACTTAATTTACTTCAATTTGTTTAAAAGAGGAAAATCAGTTGGATATTGCAAATTATAGGTTACCCATGTCCAAATATGGGTGTAACCAATATTTATAATATTCACATTACCTATATTTGTTTTTATGAATGAGTAACATGTAGATGCAAAGAGTGATACGGAGTCCATGGAAAACATGAGCCTGGA